CATCAATGCATTGGCAGAGGGAGTCAATGGGGCTGTAGCCATTTGGAGATAAGGCTAGGTAAATCTGGGTATCATCTGCATAGCTGTGATAGGCGATTTGGTTCTTTCTCATTATTTGACTTAGTGGGAGCATATACAGGCTAAACAAGAGCGGTGCAAGAATTGAGCCTTGTGGGACTCCGCATGTCATGGACGTCCACTTAGACTTATGCTCTCCTATACTCACATAATAACCTCTCCCTTCTAAGTATGACCTGAACCATTTGATTACCATCCCAGAAAGCCCGACCCAGTTTTCCAGTCTCTCTAGAAGTATGTTATGATCGACCGTGTCAAATGCAGCACTGAGATCTAGTAGTACCAGCACTGATATTTTGCCAGAATCAGAATTTAAGCGAATATCATTTATTATCTTTTAATGAGCGCTGTCTGTGCTCTGATGCGGTCGGAAACCAGATTGAAAATGGTCCAGGTATCCATTTGAGTTTAAGTGTTTGTTCAGCTGATTAAAAACTACCTTTTAAATAATCTTGCCTATAAAAGGAAGATTTGATATTGGTCTATAATTGCTCAAAATGGTGTTATGAAGATTGTTCTTTTTCAGAAGAGGCTTAACAACTGCAGTTTTCAGGGAGTTTGGAAAAGTCCCAGAAAGAAGTGAGGCGTTCACCACTTCTAAGAGATATGCTTCTAAACAGTTAAGCACCCTTTTGAAAAAATATGTGGGAAGTGTGTCAAGATAGCATGTTGACGATTTTAGGTGCTGCACTATTTCTTCCAAAATTTGGCTATCAGTTGCTTCAAAGATAGACATAGTATTTTCTTTTTGATATTGCGGTTGAATCTGTCTGACCGGTGCATAACTTGAGGATGTGCTGTCAATGAGCATTTCACTGGGAATCTGACTTGGGGGGGCTTGTCAGTCTCTCAACAGTAGCAAAAAGAGTGCGAGTGTTGTTTAAGTTGCTGTTTATAAGGTTTGAGAAGAAACTCTGTCTAGCTGTAGCTAGTTCCACATTGAAAGCATGTGGAAGAGCAGCATTTATTCGAAATAGAAATCTTGTAGCATTATAAATGTCTTTGCTGTCAATTTGATCGATTTAATGCATCCTTGCTGAATAAAAGTGTTAATTTCTTTTCTTTTTTTTTATCATACTGACCCCAAATTTGACCTCTATGAGCATCTTTTAAACCATATTTGGGACTGATTTTGTAATGGTGATTTTTATGTGGGATGCTACTGACGTTCTTTCAGAAATAAACTCTTCTGAAGCCGTACGAGTGTTTCTATAAACACATGGAGCTTCTGCTCCCAGGAACCAGTTTAAAAAGTAAAGTTCAGCTATTTTGAAGCAACCCTAGTAAATTCTCTCTCCTCCAGCCTGTTTCATGGTATACGTGACTTTGGGTGGCATGCACTGGACGTGACTTCCTGTTCAGATTACATCAATGTCACACTCCGTGTTTGAGCTGGGCTTTTCAGAGGAGATGCTGCTTCACATACTCCAGCATGAAAGAGCAGCACACATCCTGCCCATTATCAGCTCTTCTCTTAAACGTCTCTCTGTCTGTCTCAGTCAGTTGTGTTTGTTGTGTGGTGTCGCTCAGGGCTGAATCACAGCAGTTAGTGAAGGTTATCTTCTCTTAGACGGAAACATACACATATTTGGCTCAGTCTCTCACACGAACCAGTAAACAGGAAACTCTTATTTTGATTAGAGCTTCATTATAAAGTGTGTGTTTGTGTGTGCTTCCGTTACAAAAAACAGTTTTTTACCACATTGCTATGTGGTTGCTAGGGTGTTCTGGGTGGTTGCTAGGTGGTTTCTCTCTGCGCCGAGTGAAATGAGTCTCTGTGATCTTAGATATGTCTCCTTTAATGTGCAATTTTGGGATTTTTTCACCTGTTTTATGGTGCAGCAGGTGAAAATGTGCAGCTGATCAGTTAGTATCAGGGAAGTCATAGCCTAATGGTTAGAGAGTCGGACTCGTAACCCAAAGGTTGCGAGTTCGAGTCTCAAGTCCGGCAGGAATTGTAGGTGGGGGGAGTAAATGTACAGCGCTGTCTTCCACCTTCAATACCATGACTTGGGTAACCGTCACTTCACTTCACTTTTAAGTAAAGTAACAGCACAGTCCTCCTCAATGACACACATGATTCAAGGAATCATTCATGTCTGGAGAACAATCGCTGCTGGAAAATTTTGAGACTTTAAAGATTAGAGGTTTGAAAAGTGGCAAGTACTTCTAATAATTGTACTAACTATAGTATTTTGGTCGAAACTAACCATTTTTTTAATGTTTGTAAGGATTGAAGTTTTGAGCATAGTGAGTCTCTAGGATTGTGTCAACATTTATCATAAATGTAAAAAAAAATTATTGATTTATTCATTTTGAATTTGTCGTAATAATTGCTCATTTTTATTTTATCTATTTGAATTTGATTTATCTTAATGTTTGTTTGTATTTATTTTAAATGCATTCATTTATTTTAATTTAAATAATTATTTATTTTTAATTTAATGTTATTTTATTTTTATTAATTTGTTAATTTTATTTATTTGTTTATTTTATTAAATTATTTTAAATGTATTTATTTGAATTTAATTGGATTAATTTTATTCATTCATTTTAATTTCAATAATTTATTTATTTATTTTATTTATGTATTTATCTTAATGTCTTTATTTATTTATTTCAATGTTTATTTTTTCTTTATTTTAAATATATTAATTTATTTAAATTTATATATATATATATAATCTTACGTTGAGTCTCTGCGCACACTCATTCAGGTATGAAACATAAATACATACATGTAGCTGTCTAAATGAATACTGTAGGCTGCCTTTGAGCTTATATAAAGCTGATAATATTGACTACTGATTTTGACTACTGATTTACCTCTGAGGTCTCCAAAGGAAGGTTTTATCATTTTGATTTACTTCTTGGGACAGTAAATAACAGTCATCACATTAAACATAATGGCCAAACCCAGTATGTTGCAGAACATTTTTCATTAAAATCAAAAAAAGCACTCACAAATGAATATGTCATTTGTGAACAGAACAGAAGAAAAGACACGTGATGTTACTGTAAAAGCGAGAGCGGAAGCTGCATACTGAGTTTAATAAGCAAAAGAGAGCAACAAATCATCATCTTTTCCAATCTCTCCTGACTCATAACAAGCTATTCTAGCTGGTGCAGCGGTTGCCATGGCAACAAGGTGAGCGAGTCCTGGAGCGCAGCAGTGTTTGAGCTCGATCGCCCAGTGCACCTCCAAAATGCCCCATTACTGAGCAATTCTCACCAGCATTACTGCTCTCGTTCTGTGTTAAAGGAAGCGGTTAGCTTTGGGGTAAATGATTGTGTTCCAGTCAAAATCATTACTTGTAAATGGCATGCAGCGGGCGAACCTGAACCAACAATGAGAGAGAAGCACAAGCGCAGGTTAATCAGCTTCAAGGTGTGAATGTGGACGGACGGACGGACGGACGGATGACAGACGAGAGCGCTTGATCATGGCACTGGCGTGTCTCTGGGCACGTTTTAGAGCGTTTGAAGTGCTAGAAGAACGTTGGCCAGATGTATGCTTGTCAAAACACAGACACACTTCTGTGTGCCAACAGGGCGTGTGTGTGTGTGTGTGTGTGTGTGTGTGTGTGTGTGTGTGTGCGCGTGTGTGTGTGTGTGTGTGCGTGCGTGTGTGATATTGGGCTGTTTTTTGGACTTGTACTATAGTAATAACATGTTTTTTTTAAAGTATCATGTTTATGACCATAGTATAATGTCAATCCAGTCAATCCTTTTTTTTTTACTTTCTAATTTCTATCTCTTTTAATTCCTTTTAGGTAATAATTATTTGAGGTAATGTAATGTAGCCTTTCTAGTGTGTGTGTGTGTGTGTGTGTTTTTTTTTTATTTATTATTTCTTTTTATTCTGATTTATATGGGGTGGGGGAAATAATAAAAATTACAAATAAAAATTTGTGTTTAAAGGTAATGATTAAATAAATAAACGATGAAGGTAAAGCATTAAAATGTACAAACACAGATGAACAGAATATTAGAATCACTAAGTGCAAACATTCTGTATGTTTTTTTTTTCTTGTTTAGTGTCCTGTTGTTTGTTAATGTCATTTTATTTAAGTAAAATGGTTTGGAAATGACATTTGCAAATGAAACCCCTTAAGTACCCAGAAAACTCTCCCTAAAAAATAAAATAAAATAAAATATGAAGGTAAAGCATACATAGATAAACAAAATATTACGTGTACTAAGTACAAACAAAATTTGATAAAAAATGCTGTCTTGTTTAACGTCCTATTACCCATTAATATGTTATTTTATGGAAGTAAAATGGGTTGCACATGACATTTAATGTTGACTTTAATTTTGAATGAGCTTGAGTAAGTCATTGAGATACATCTTTGGTTTTATAAAGGCCTTGATCTGTTACAGTAAAGACAGAGGAGCAGAATGTTTGATGTGACACAGTTTATGTCCCAAGAGGAGAGGCAGGCATTTCCTTTAATCAAAGTCTGTCCCAGACCACCACATACAAACACACACACATTCTGTCATTTACTAATGCATATTCTTTACTATTTGCATGCATACTCATTTAGATTTATTTTTGAACTGGCTGTAATTCGTTGCAATGAAAATGTTGATTATAATTTATTCAGTACTAAGAAGTAAGAGTTGTTCCAGTTTCAGCTCTTCTCACATTACCTCTGTCTCTCTGTGTGGTTGTTGTTCTGGTTTCAGGGCTACATGAAGCCCCTCAAGCACCCGGAAACCTCGCCTCTCTGTGACCCGTCTCTGGTAGACGAGATGTTCTACCAGATCCCTGAGATTCTCGAGCATCACGAGCAGTTCCTGGAGCAGGTGCTGGACTGTGTCAACCAGTGGCACGACAAACAGACGATCGGCCATGTGCTCATCCAGTCGGTGAGATCCTAACCACCATTTCAATACTATTTGCACCATATTATATGCGAGAATAGCATCCCAAATCATATAGGCTATGTTGAAAATACTGTGCTGTACCAGAAAATCTTGGATGGTGAACATTTTCAGGTGTTTTTTGGTTTTATGGATCTGTGCATGTTTTTTAGGGTAATATTGCCCACTGTCTGGATGAGGAGAATGCTGTGTCCCGATTTGCATACTATCTGTCCTAAGTAGTATGCAACATTAGTAGATATACTGTATATA